TTCACGACGAAACAAACCGTAAACTTGACTTTATACTCAGCAAAATGGAGAAGCTAGACAAGCTAGATACGATTGAAGAACATCTTTCTCGTTTAACTATCAGAGTAAATGAGGTTGAGAGACGTGTTTCAGATGCCGAACGGAAGTGTGGAGATTTCCAATCTACAGCTAATTTTGTATCGGACCAGTATGACGAACTCAGTGCCAATTCGGTTAGTTACCAGGAGTTGTCAGAGGCAGTAAAAGAACAGGAGTCAGTCATCAGTGGACTTTGTAGTGGTTTTGATACACTCAGACTGGACCGCGACAATATGAAACAGACTGTTCTAGATCTACAGTGCAGGTCTATGAAATACAACCTTGTTTTCACCGGACTTTCAGGGGAAAACCGCAATGAGGATACCTTGGCTCTCATCAGGGACTTCATATATATAGAACTTGGTATTCAACATAGGATTGACTTTGTCAACGTCCATAGGTTTGGTAGGCACATACGTGGCAAGCCCCGACCGATTGTTGCCAGATTCGTGTACAACCAAGATCTCCAACTGGTCAAAAGCAGGTCATTCCATCTGAAAGGGACCATGTTTGGCATTCATGAACAGTATCCGGTAGAAAAAGAGGAAAGAAAGAAAAGGTTGTATCCAGTCCGCAAACGTAGCAAACAAGCTGGGAACACCGCAAAACTGATCCGAGACAGGCTGTACATAGACGGTAGGCTATACGAGGAACAACCAGGGATCACCCACAGCGACCAGGCCAGTTATGTCAACAAACGCGCAAACCAGCATACCAGCAGATCAAGTGGATTTTCTACAGGACAGGCGGACACACGGTCCACCTCAGCATCTGACAGAGGACGTCAACAGCCTACTGCTGCTCCGCGTCAGAGATATTCACCACCAACCCAGCCTCGCGCGATGAACAGACCTGCCACTTCGGCGAATCCACAGTCCAACAACAGGGGCCCCCAGCGGCCTTGGGAGGATCATCGTGCATAGGATCACGCGGAGAGTGACGCGCAACCGTATACGGCTGAGCGAGACCTGTTGGTACTGTCGTGGAACATTGGTAAAGGCCTATTAGGAAAGCTCTGTAATAGAGACTTTCTAGATATTATCAACAATTATGACATTGTGTGTCTCAGTGAATGTTGGTTATCTGAGAAAGATGAATTTGAGTTAGATGGTTATTGTAAATATGTCTTCCCGAGGAAAACTGGTATCGGTGGGGGTATTGTTATATTCTATAAAAACTGCTTAAAAAACAATATATCGATAGTTGAAAATATTCACGATAGCATAATATGGTTAAAACTTGAAGGAAATTTAAGTTATAGCTACATTGTGTTTTGTTACTTTCCCCCCGAAAAAAGTGTTTTCTATGAAAATAACACAGAAGAAATAGATTTATTTCAAACTTTGCAAGATTCCATTATAAATTATAGATCAAATGGTAAAGTGTACATAACTGGAGATTTCAATGCCAGAACTGGTACCAGACCTGATATGATAATTAATGATGGATTGGGTAAAGATGGTAATGTATTATTTGATGCTGTTGACTATCAATCTGACAGTGTGTATGATCTTACTGAGCGGAAAAGCATGGACAAATCTGTAAACTCTTTTGGAAGAAAGTTATTGTCTCTGTGCAAATCTACTAGTTTTAGGATATTGAACGGACGTCACTCAGGTGACCCGGATGGAAGTGTTACTTTCTTTAGTTCTATTGGTACAAGCCTTATAGATTACCTTTTAGTTGAGGGGGACAATTTTCAAAATGTAAAAGAATTTAAGTCTGGTAATTTTGTAACTATGTCTGATCACTCACCTTTATCTTTTAAATTGAGATTAGATATACATTTTGATGAAGATTTACCTGGAAATCAAGCTCATGCTAGATGCGTTTGTGAAAATGTAAAGTGGAATGATGATAATGTAAACTCCATTAGACAGAATCTTAGTCAAAATATCAATGTATTAAGTGAACTCCTCGTTACACCTTTGTTAAACAAGTCAGATGTCGAATTATGTGTTGACAAACTTTGTTCTTTTCTAAATGAGATGTGTTTACCACTGTGTGATGTACATAGATGTAAGTCAACTATAACTGATAATGTCTCAAAGAAAAAAAGTATTCAGCATGAGGATAAACCCTGGTTTAATCTTCCATGTAAGCAGATATATAAGATATACAAAGATGCCTTACATACATTTAACAATTTTAAAACTGCTGATAATCATAGAATATTAATTGAGAAAAAAACTGATTATAAGAAATTTGAGTTAAGACTGAAGAGAGAATATCAGCGACAGGAGGGAGATATGATGGAGTATCTTAGAAAACACAACCCGAAACATTTTTATAAATACTTTTCGAAACGAAAATTTAAAGTTTCTAACAAAATTTCTCTTGACAAATTCTACAATCATTTTAAAGATTTAAGTTGTCAAGGTAATCCAGTTCACGAGATAGGCGAAACAACTTTAGATGAAAATAATATATCATGTGTATTTGAAGAACTCGACTCCCATATCACAGAAAAAGAAGTTATTTCTGCAATACATAAGTTAAGTAGAAATAAAAGTTGTGGTGAGGACAAAATGCTTAATGAACTTTTTATTGATTGCAATGATATACTTGTTCCATATTTAATCAAACTTTTTAATTATATTTTTCAATTAGGGATTTTCCCTGAAGCTTGGTCTACTGGGAGTATTACCCCCGTATATAAGAAAGGCGATATAGAAAATACAAATAATTACAGGGGCATTACTCTAGTCAGTTGCATGGGAAAGTTGTTTACCTCCATTTTGAATGAGCGACTAGTTAATTGGGATGTTAAAAATAATGTAATAACAGATGCTCAATTTGGTTTTAGACCCGGACATTCAACCGTTGATGCAATATTTGTACTTCAGACTTTAATTAATAGATATTTAAGTAAAAAAGGTGGTAGACTTTACTGTTGCTTTGTTGATTACAAGAAAGCTTTTGACTTAATCGACAGATCTCATATGTGGTGCAAATTGATTAAGCAGGGTGTTAGAGGGAAAATGTTACGTATAATTCAATCGTTGTATAGTTCAGTTAAGTCATGTGTAAAGCACAATGGTTTGTATTCAGATTTTTTTTCAAATACAATCGGTCTATTTCAGGGTGAAATTTTGTCACCCATTTTATACTCCATGTTCGTCAATGACTGTGAAATTCATTTTATAAAAGAAGGTTGTCCATCTATTGAAATTAATTTAATTAACATTTTTCTTTTAATGTATGCTGACGATACGGTGCTATTTGCAGAAACGCCAGAAAAGTTACAACATATTCTGGAAGCTCTGAAATCATATAATAACAAGTACAAACTCAATTTGAACACTGATAAGACGAAAATAGTAGTTTTCAGGAATGGTGGCGGGATACGAAACAACGAAAAATGGTTTTACGACACTAAAGAGCTCCAAGTCGTCGACCAGTTTAATTACTTAGGCATGCTCTTTAATTACAATGGTAAATTTTATGTCACTCAAAAGCATGTTGCAGATCAGGGTAATAAGGCATATTATGCGCTTTGTAATAAGTTCAAAAATCATAATTTTAATATCAAAACACAATGTTCTGTATTCGACACTTATATTAATAGCGTCTTAAGTTACAGTGCAGAAGTATGGGGCTTTCATAAAGCTCTTGATGTTGAAAAGATACACATACATTTCTGTAAAAGGCTACTCGGAGTCAAGAAGAGTACGTGTAATAATTTAGTTTATTGTGAGTTAGGAAGATTACCATTGTCTGTATGTAGAAAACTGAAAGTTTTTAAATATTGGTTAAAATTAAAAACTTCGAATAATTGCATTTTAAAAACATGTTACGAGGAAAGAATTTTATCAAATGATAATTGGATTCTTGATATCCGCACAGAACTCAACAAATTAGGTTTAACTTACCTTTGGGAAAATGTTAGAAATGATAGAAATATCTATACAATCATTGAGCAAAGACTTTTTGACTTTTACCGGCAGGAAATATTAACTAATATCCAAACAACTCCGAAAGGATTCCTCTATCAACATCTAATAGACAATTTTTCTTTGCAATCATATTTAATAAAACCAATTGATAATTCATATAAAAAGACTTTAGCTCGCTTTAGACTTAGCTCTCATAATTTAAATATTGAACAGGGAAGATATAGAAACCTTCCTAGAGAACAAAGATTCTGTAACTTATGTAACTCTAATGATATTGAAGACGAATTTCATTTTATATTAAAGTGTAACTTTTATAACGACTTAAGGCGCGAGTTTATTAAGCCTTTTTATTACAAACGACCAAGTGTTTTCAAATTGATACAGTTATTTACTACTCAAAACATTAAGGAATTAAATAAATTAGGAAAATTCCTGTTTTTAAGTTTAAAACGTCGTAATAACACTGTATAATATTTATCTCATTTTTCCTGTAAATGTTCATTTCAGTATACCATATTTGATGAGATATTTGTATTATGTGTATATTGTGTAAAAAAAAAAGGTGATTGTGCCCGTTCATTTCCTTTCCTATGTGATATAAATTATATGGTAAATTAATCATAATTAACAACTTCGAAACATCGACGAGTATTTTCTATATCGTAATATCACTGTCACTAACGTCAGGTGTAACATCGTATTTATTACACTATGGCAGTGTATTTTATTGGGGTTTTTTACTGTTCTACTAGAGATTATTTATTCGTGACATATTCGTGTATGTAACTATTAATCCAGTTATCATTACCTGTAACGTACGTCGTTGAAAGTTACACTTTTGTTATGATTGCACTGTATCGGAACCTTACGATGTTGGTGTATTGCAGTGTAAAATGCTGTCTCTTATTATCTGTCATTTTGAAGTACTGCACGATTTATGAATATTATTGTATACATGTATCATTGTAAATTTGTAATATACTGTACTATTTGTATGTCTACTCTCTGATGTGTGTTACACAAGGAATAAAACAATCTGAACTAGGCTCTATAGGTATCGATATTGTAAAAACATAAACTGTTGTGTATATATAATCTGAGGTGATGGAGTACCTCTCCCCCGGGGCCCCGGGACGGCTTGGGTGTGACCAGAGTGAGGGGAGTACAGACACCTTGAGGACGTTAATACAAGTAGATGTCGATTTCTCCGTGACGTATAAATATATGTGATTTACCTGTAGTCCATATCACAACTTTATCTTTCATATCATCACCGAATCATCCGTACTCCAGCTAGTTGATAACGAGATCCAGATTTACTTGACTCCACGCTACAGATTTAATCTCTCGACCTATTATTGTAAGTATATACTCGGTTTACCTGGTGTTTTACCTCAGTGTTGATCCAAAGTTTTTTCTATATGACCAAATTATCTATAGACTGAGAAAATCAATGTGTTATATTTTCCAGAATTTAATGTAAAGATTGAAATAAATATCTTTATCATGAAATTTGTTTTGTTTCATCACAATTATGAAATAATGTTTATATAATTATTCTTCAATCAGCCGTTTTCACACAATGATTATTATCGTTCTTTTGTTCCCAGATGACATCCCCTTTGACCTTCACCCCGTGGCGCAACCTTGACTTTGATGACGATGAGATCAAATCCTTGATGACCCCGGAAGTGAAGAAGAATCTCCGTCAGCTGTTCGATGATGAGGATTCTGGACTTGGAATGGATGATGGTGTGGTGAGTATTTGATATTAACAAAGAAAACTATTATTAAATTATATAGTGTAAATCTTCCTAATTCAAAACCTTTACAACGAGTATAATTTGTTTTTATCTTTTACAAAACATCCACCATTTAGATATTTGTTCGTTTATCAAGTAATAATCTTTTATTAGTTTAAGGCATATCATATGTATTTAGTTGAGTAAACGCATATAAATGTTGTGAAAATTAGATAAAATAAAAGAATGAAAATGGTCTCCCTTGTTCCTAACATCTGATCATAAACGTGACTAATTTGTTTCCCTGATTGTGTTTCAGTTCGGGAGTCCAATAGACTACAAAGTTTCTACAAGATTGGATTTCAGCAACGTGTTTGATTCACCAGTACAGGTAAGTACACAAACTTTGTCAAATAATGAGATATACACAATCACTGTTATTTAATTGAGTAAATGAATAAGTATATAACGAAAACTAATGTTGCATGTAAAGGAATAAACGAATTACATTACATAACGTTTTTACTTTTAGGCAGCCAATGGACGTGATACTAGCTTCAGACGATCTCTCCTCTCAGACAAGCGTCCACGTGATGACGATGAAGATTCCTGTTCACCCCCACCGAAGTCACAGAGGAGGGACGAGAGGGCACTGTCTTTTGAGGTAAATAATATAACTCTATCCATTACTCATGTTATATATTTAGAACTAATTTGTATTTTCTTTTTATTTATATTTGACTTTCGAAACTATCCAGATCAACTTAATATATAAAGTAATTTGAAATATCTGAACTCACTACAAAAGTGCGCTGTTTTTAATGTCAACTCTGTGATTTGAAAAGAATAATTTATATCGAATCAATAAAGAACGAGAATACTTTTTATGTACATTTTCATCATTTTGTAGGGCGACCAAACGTCGAGGTCACGTGACGTTAAGACTGCCGTTAACCGATTGGTGGAGGAGGATGATTTAGTGGGGGACGGGACTGACACGTTTTGTCTGCCGACCATCAGGGGCAATCACCAGGACCTCAAGTCTATCTCTGCACACACGGTAAGTTGTTATTGGGTAATGTCTGTTTAAAATGAGATCAAAAGACTCCGCTGATGTCTATTTGTTATTAGATAAGGATATTCAAATTAGGGTAAAACTATGTCATTAACTAATTGAAGACAGGTTTTTATAGCACAACCTGGAAACTATTTGTATATGACACTTCAATGACTAGTGGGATATGTTTTGAAATAAGGGGCTTATGATTTTGCTCATTTGTTTTTAATTTAATATTTCTTGGATGTCTTTTTATTTTTATGTCGTAACTGTTTTCATCTAAAAATTGAATAAATAAATATATATACTTGTATTGACAGATGGCAGATATCCTGACCGGAAGGTATGATGACGTCATCAATGACTACAGAATCATCGACTGTCGGTACCCATACGAGTTCGAGGGAGGTCATATACAGGTGTGTACCACGTACAAGATATTGATAGTTTTTGTCTACTAAATTGTTTATATCGAGTTTATTATAATGTTAACGAACATCGAGCTTAATTTCTGTAGTTAAACACTTTGGTCTGGCAATGTGAGTGCACGAGCTGTGTTAATTTACGCACGTGGTAGGGAAGCCAATCTCATTGCTTGCATGTCTGGTCGAAATGTCTCGAGGGTTATTTTCAGTAAACCATCGTTTAAATGCTGTCCCAAGTTGTTTTAAAAGTATAAGTACTTAAAATTAAATATTTTGTATCTTTCCTCAGAATGCCGAGAACAAGTACACACGTGACCAGGTTCAGCAGCTGCTTCATGAGAGACGGAGTGATGTTACTGGGAAGAGAAACATCCTCATCTTCCACTGTGAATTTTCCTCAGAGAGGGGGCCCAAAATGTAAGTTTCACGTACTTCATGAAATAAACGTTTTTTCAAAAATGTTAGTTTCGCTGCATTTCATGAAGATAGCATTTTTCAAAACCAATAACCTTTTAAAAGGTGTTCGAAGTTAGTGAGTCATAAATAATTCATTTGAAACTCATGTCAAATTAAACACTTCCAAAACTTGATTAGTTGTAATAAGCATATACTACTATAATTATTAGCACTGGTTGCAAGACAATGCTTATACTATTACAATAAATAATATATATGTATATCAGTGTCGACGTTCAATTGCTACCATCTAGGTTTATTCTAATCTGATTTATTTACCTTGATAGGATGCGATTGTTGAGGACCCATGACCGTGCCCAGAACGAGGCTAACTACCCGGCCTTGACCTTCCCCGAGGTGTATCTCCTGGACGGCGGGTTCAAGGCTTTCTATCACACGGACAAGGTAAGTTATATAAAAAAAACATTAGATGTATAATCAAAATATGTTATATATTATACAGTAATTTGTATAAGGTTAGATCCGATAATACTTTCTTGTAAATATAAATGTATTCAATTTTAACCTGCGATATATATATATATATAAAAACTATGATAACACGCCACACTGTAAAAGTTAGAAATTTTATCAGGGATAAATACAGACACAAGTACCATACCGATACTGTATACTGTAATATTACATCAGTGTGTCGGCTAACACACTAACTCATTGGGGACATACAATCACACAGAATGAAACAAGTAATATAATCCAGACGATCAATTCTTACATGTATACTGTTTGAACTTTTTACAAATCAAATAAAGGTAGATCATTTGTTCATCAATTATACAATTATTTTTGTAGACTCTGTGTCAGCCCATGGAATATAAGCCCATGTTACATCCTGGGCACTGTGACGACCTGCGTCACTTCCGGTCGAAATCCAAATCCTGGTCTTGTGGAGACAAGAAGAAATCTGTGTGCCGACGTCATGTTTGAAATTTTATTTCACTCATAACCCGAACGAGATTATGTCAAATATGCCGTGATTTGGACACGATGAACGGAAATTTCCAGTTTTATTGACACCAACTTATTGAAATGACGTAACACCAACCTTGAATTCACAAACATGTTGATGAATGACAAATTGTGATGAAAGTTGTATGCGACGATACGCCAAGTCTACCAGTACAAGTGGCGGTATTACTGGACTATTTTTGAAGTGCTATCTTTAAACTCAAGTGCTATACTGTAGTATGTGATCATTTGTCGTGGTCACCAGTAGGCCGATATTACTTGGCTATTGTGAAGTGATGTGATGCCATTGAAGTGCTTATATCCTGTTATATTTATGCTTTATACATTGTTCAATATTTAATAAATACAAATATCATAATAACAAAGCGTTTCTCTTCTTTTCATTTGCTGCACATACAGTATAATACTAATGTGAGGTAATAATATTATGCTAGAAGGATCTGCTCTTCTGAAGGTGAATTCACGTTCAAATCTTGTTTTGATTTAGTTCAACAGGATTTAATCAAATTTACAGAGTAAGATAAATTTTAATAAAAACGTGCATCTGAAAAATACATAAAAAAAACTAGATACCTATTGTATACTAAACATTTTTTTACAAGTTTTAAAAACAATTACCAACATGGCGGCCATTCTGAACATGTGAATTACTTACGCTCTACTCAACGTCAAAATTTCATCTATGAAGATACTCGATTAATCACTTAATTTGTTATTGTGTCGCCATTAATTTAAGGTACCCTCGCTATACCAGATTTTATCCTACGTTTTATCGGGGAAAATTTGAATTGAAGATATAATTTATACGATTTTATTGTTGCATTCGCAATGCCATTGTCGCCAAATTTCTGGGTACCTGTAGGAGGTGGGAGAAAAGAGTCAACTATCGTGTATATGTATGTAGGATGGGACATTCTTCCATTTGGTGTAGACAGGCAAGGTTCTGATCCCAAAATCTGCACCATAGGGTAGAATTTCCCTACCGCACATACCTACATTTAATAGACTTTATTAATCTACTAATCTTATGACTTACCTTAGACAACGTCAATGGTGTTAATGACAATATGTTAGTGACGTCAGTACCCCGCCTGACCTCGGAGAGTCATGAAATCAATTATTACATATAGTGACGTCACAAACCCTGAAGGTCCTGGCGTCAATTTTCCCCGGCAGAGTGACGCTGATTTTGAAGGAAACGCTCAAAAACATCTTAAACTCGTCGTTTCTTTCGGTAGCTTCAGCATATATGAATTAGATTGGGGATATACATTGGCTTACTGCATACTGCCGCAAATTGAGTTTTACTGGCGATATTGTGGCAGTATTATCAAGATTTATCAGCGCAAATATCAAATACACTGGTGTTATCCCCTAATTAACCTTACGGCATAAATTAACGACATCAGAGGATTCCGAAAAATACGAGATGGAAGCTGCAATAAGATTGTACATGAAGATTTGTTGCAACAGTTTTTTTAATTTTATTTGCCCGTTTTCTGCCTCCAGGTGATGGCAGTTCCACAACTGGTGACGCATTAAGTTAGAATCATTACCTTTTCCTTTTATAAACAGCAGATCAGGTTAGCTAACAATGTGCTATTCTCAGTTCGTAATATTATCTTGGTGAGTTTTATTACAACACAAGTTAAGCACCTGAATCACAAAATAACTAAACCATGGAGTCTAGGATATACACTGTACCTGTTCGATTGTGGAACTACCATCACCATGGCACAAACGGGATTTTAAAATGACCATTCTCTATATTTAAATTCAGACTATACCACAACGTAACTCTGCTAAAATGTTCCGTTATAGTCTATTTATCAGCATTGGTTAGGTAGGCCAGTTAGAAATTTGTCTTTTTAAACTTTCTAAATGTTCTTATGTTGTGTGTACCATTATTGTCTGTTCACATCGTAATAAACCAATGATTGATCGAGTTGGTGTAGTTTAGATTAAATGTTCCAATTTGATACTGACTGCCAGTTTCATGGCGCTAGTATCCCTTGCATTTCCTCTTCTAGCTGACCATCTATGTACTCCATATAGGGGTTGTCGGGTAGCGCAGTGGATAAAGGACTCGCCTTTCATCAAGGCGGCCGGAGTTCGACTTCCCGATCGGACGTGAAAGGTATTCGTATGGGGTCACCTGCCCGACCACAGGGTTTGGCTGCGGGAACTCCGGTTTCCTCTTAAATTAAAAACCCCGCACGCTAACATCCGGGCCAACAAGAATGTTTAATATAAGTTGAAATAATCATGATGTCCATCCCGTATCTCCAATTTTCTTAAACACCGCGTAAGATCTTCAACTCGCATCAATGAACTTTGCTGTTAGGGCACTTAATTAAAGCACGGCTAACCGATTTCATGAGTTCCTTCATTACTCATTTCATAATCAAGTTTTCGTCCAACCACATGCCTATAGATACTTGTTTTAATCACTGCGGTGAATCGGCAATCATAAACAGTTTGTTTTGAACACAAACAAGATTAGAAAAATATTTTGCGAGCTTTCGAAAACGTGTTTCCTTTGTCAAGCACAGAGTGCAAATGACCGGTTGTCGTCTCTAAACCCCTGAAAACAACTCACTGAGCCACAGTGTGCCAAATCAGTAAGGTCAGATGTCAAAAATCAAAGCCCATTCCGTCCCTTATTAGTGGATCTTATTCCAAATGGGCAACCGTTGTAAGTAAGATTGAAGTCGGTGTACTGTAGAAACAGACCGGAAGTGTACAACATTTATTGTACTATGATTTTGTGAAATTCTCCATTCGAAGCACCACCTTTCTACAGTGTCTAACATGCTTTGTAGCTTTTTCTCTGGCGGCGCCATTAACGCAATGTCATCAACATAGAATAATGAATAAATATTGAGTTCATCCATATCGATACCCAAACGCAAACTGTTTAAATCGTCAATTAATTAGTTACTTTATAGGTCAAAAAGAGTCGATGACATTAGCCAGTCTTGTTTTAAGCCCCTTTGTACGGCAAACCAATCATGAACCTCCACACAACATTTGACGTCATTGAATAGAGACACAATGGCATTATATATGCGGCCATGTATAGCAGCGCGTCGGAGTTTAAACCACAGTTAGTTTCTATCCACGGTGTCAAACGGATTGCACAAGTCAATAAAGCACGTGTAGGTGGTTGTTTCGTGGCACCTTAGGGATTTCTGGGGATCTGTTCTTTTTGGTTTTACCATTGATTCATCCTCGATATCTAGGGGTTATGCTCACTTTTGTGCAGAGAGCGAAAATGAGTGTAACCGCTGGATATCGAGGATGTCATTGATTCGGAATAATACCAAACTCAAAACATCGGCCGGTGTTGAAGGGTGATTTCTCTAAGAACTTATTACCAAGCATTTCAGCGTGAATACTGTCGGAACCGGCGCCCTTTTGAATCGCACTGTGAACTTCATCCCTTGTTATAATTGGTATATTTACCTGTTATTCATAATCAGGAGCATCTTTTCAGTTATCATACACATTTTTTTTATCATTCAAAGACAAATGGATATATAGGGGCATATAACTAGACGGGCGCAGCATAGCACGCGCGCGGGGATTTAAAACACGCGACATTTGATTGATCAACATAAAATCATTACGCAATTTATACAAAATACTTTTTATGTTGTAAATGAAAATGACACAAATATTCAGTGCAATTTAAGTGTTTTGTGTAATCCTAGAGTTAAATGATAAGGATGTGACAAGATTTGAAATTGGTATTTCAATGTATTGACCTTAAACCCAAGTGCGCTCTTCGCATAACAGCGTAAACTGAAGTGTACTCTGCAACTCAATTTGCATAATCACGATATACCGCAACAAATTTCAAAATACAGTAGGATTATCCCCTGGAAAGCTATATACCTATCATACGACGGCACTAAAGAGATTGATGAACGCAGCATAACTCGTAAACGTGGTCCAACAAGTTCAAGTTCAAGTTCTTTATTAACTTTGAGTCTTGCGACTCATCAGTGTAACACATATACATGATATATATATATATATATATATTCTCTCATAACATTGACAAATATCGAAAATACTAATAAATACACAGACGAGACAAAACACTCGGAGAGCATAACTACTTATGTTAATAAAGCTCTTCTTGAATTTGCAGCTTTAATGTATTTGGCCAATTTTGCTAATTCATTTGTGTTTTGTCCGTTAAATAACTGAATTAATTTAAACATGCTCGGTTTTTTACAATAGTACTTTTTTAAAAATTTCTCACGTAAATCAGAATAACAGGGGCATTTAAGAATAAAATGAAATTCATCTTCGACATCATCTATATCACAAGCGGTACAGATTCTTAAAAGTCGCGGAATATTTTGATAACGACCTTTCTCTACATTTAAATTATGGGCTGAAAGCCGAATTTTTGTTATTTCTTTTAAGTAACCTTTCATAAACGATTTTCTTAAATAACCCTGTATACCAACTTCTTTGTTAAGACATGTATAAAAAAATCCTTTTGATGATGTTCTAATTTGTTCTATACAATCTTGTCTATAAATATCTAAAAGTCTTTCTTTAATTATAATCAAACAGCTATTATCAATGTTATCTGTTTGCCATATGTAACCTAGACCTATTCTATATAATTCATTCTTGATATTAATTACCCATTTGTCGTTACGCACTAACATGTCTTCATAACATGATTTTAAAATGCAATTATCGGTATTTATAATCTTTATCCAATACTTAAAAATTCTGAATTTCCTCAGCAGTGATAATGGATATCTACCAAGCTCTAAATAAACCATAGCATTACAAGTATTTTTACGCACACCGAGTAATTTTTTACAAAACATAATATGTATTTTTTCAACATCCGGGGCTTTATGAAAACCCCATATTTCTGAACCGTAACACAAAATACTGTTTACATATGTATCAAATACTGATAGTTGGGTTTCAATATTAAAATAATTATTACGACATACATTCATAACTGAAAATAAAGCTTTCCTTCCTTGATCTGCTATTTTTTGCTGTGTTTTTCTGAAAGTGCCGTTGTAATTTAACAACATACCTAGATAATTAAATTCATTTACGATTTCCAAAGGACATCCGTTATATGTCCAATTTCCATTGTTTCTTAAAATACCACCATTTCTAAAAACCAGCACTTTTGTTTTATCTGTATTGACCGTTAGATCCCACTTTTTTGTAAATGCTTCTAAAGAATTTAACATGTCTTGCAAGCCTTCTGGTGTTTCCGAAAAAATTACCAT